GACTGGCCTTGAAAAATTTGAAACAAGGCTAATCTTTTGGCTACTCTCAGATATATAACAAAATTGGAAAAGTAATTTTGGAAATGAACAGCTCAATCTTAGCTTCTTCTTAGGAACTAGTGGGTTCAGTCAGCTATCTACAAGCCAAGCCTATGTAACAATGAAAACGGCCTCAGGACATATCACACTTGACTATGGTATTGTTGTTCTTCATAAATTATTGAAGAAAAGTGAAATATTGTTTTTTTGGGACAGTAATAGAAAGTTTAAAGTAATAAAAATTTACCTTCAGATAATGTTGGTACTAATCCTGGTTTGGCTGCCCTGTGGGAAGATGAGAGGCAGCGAAGGAGAAATGCTGGGGAGTCATCCCAAGTTGAGCCTGAAAATAGTCAAGGTAAAGGTTATTTTTCATTTGTGCTAGTTTCTTAAGCACTAGGTTTTTAGAATTAAAGAAAAATTTGATTTTTTTTTAAAAACAACCAAAAAACAAATAGCCACTTAAAAACAAATTGTTATTTAATTGACACACATATAAAAACAATTAAAAATATCTACAATAGATTACAAATATGTATTTAATTGCAGGGAGGGTTAATGTCATTGCATCAGACAGTGAAAAAGAATTAGTCCAGAGATTTCTGCATATTGTGGATAAGCAGCAGAGGTTTCGGTTCGTATATGAGCCTATTTCATTTATCAGATTTAACATCTTTGGCAAAACAGTTATAATTTATTCGTTTTTTTTATGGCAGATGTTGAATTTAGTTTAATGTCTTAACCATCTGGAGAAACACCATGGAAAGTGAGTTTTAATAATTTTAATATTTTTCAAGGGACAGTGAGAATGATGAAAGTATGTCTACCCAGCTTTCTTTATCAGCTAGTCAGTTGGAACCACACATTTCTCTTGAAGGTAGCATATCATTTACTACTTTTTAGCCCCATCACACGCTAACCCTCTGTATCCATAGCACAATAACCCTCTTTTATAATAATTATAATAATCCATTTTTTTGAGTTAAAAGATTTTTATTATAATTCATTTAAAATTTAGTCTTGACATTTTAATAAATAAAATTCAGTGTAAATCTTGCATTAAATGTACTTCAGACATTATCCCATTAAATCATCATTGTAATATCTGTCCATTATTAAATTTAGACAAAATAAAACACTTTAAGTCCATGTTTTGCCATGTAAAAAAATGAATTAACCTGTAAAGTGTTGGTTAACAAATAGCTATGTTAAATCATTTGGGTGAATGGTCTGTGACGGGGAAATAATTAATATTTGTTAAAATTTTATGATGACCTGCTGATGCTAATCTCTTGATGGAATGGAGAAATTGATGGCCTATTAGTAACCATATGTGGATGTAAATTGTTAATTAAGTATTATGTTAAAGAGTCAAGAAAAATAAAAAATCAGTCCAATGTTTTCTCCTATGATAAATTAAGCTGCCTTTATATTTTTATATGTAATAAGGGAAGGCAAGTAAAAACATTCCAGTTTATTTGTTTTCATTATTCTACCTGTATGGCAATGTAATGGGATATTAAGAAAAACATTTTACATGTTATATTAAATGACACCTTTAAAATTTCCAGATTCTGTGGTAAGCTCCCAAAGTACTACCATCCTAGAAGAAAGTGTGTTGGATGATGTTAGTGATGAGAACAGCCAAGACAATGAGAGACCTATTATTAATTTTGAGTCTATCCAGAAAGTTGTTTCTTGTAGTCAGAGTTTCTCTTTTAGATCTTCTTCTCAAGGAACACTCCATGGTAAAAAAAGACACATCCTAATCTATAGACTTCATATTTCTTCTACTTTAAAAAAAAATTATCAGGAATTGAGCTATTTATCTGCCCCTTGCTATTTTTCGTCTAATATAAACAATAAGATTTTCAATTTATATGCTTACTTTTCTTTCTCAAAATGTGTCCAAATTCTTTGCTTCCTAAACAAGGGCAAATATTTTGTTTAAAAAAATGTTAAGTGTATAATTTAAAAAGGGGGGGAGGATGGCATACATATATTACTTATAAACTCAAAGGAACATGAAAAGTGTCCTAGTTAAATAAACAATAACCCTATAACTGTCAAAAACATTTTTCTGTAGTGTCAAGCCATTTTTACCATTGTCATATCATTGTCAAAAAGGACAAAATCCCAGACTAAATGAATTCACTTACAAGTATACATTTTCTGAAAGTACACTGGACAAGGTATCTTATGGTATGAAAAGAATTATTTGTTGATATTGACCTTTACGGAGAGTAAAATTTTAGTACTTCTGAATTCAGCTCATCCTAAATACTTCATAAATTGTTCAAACTATTATAAAATCAAAGAAACATAAATGTCTTTGGGGTAGTTTTTGGAATCCAAACTTTGTCTTTTTCTGTTTGATTTCCACTATTCAAAAAACAAATTTGTAACACTACGACTAAGCTTAGGGCTTAAATTGTCAGTGTCTAACTTTTTATGTCGCCATCACCGCTAGAGCTAAACTGTCTTTAGTAGCACATGGAATATCTCTGAAATCATTGCTTTCATTTAAATCCATTTGAAATAATTCCGATAAATGAATTCTTTGTTGAATTTGCAATCTAGAGGGGGGCCCTCACCGACATCAGACATAGCACACTTAAAACTAAAAAGTTGGGTGGATTTTATCAGTGAAGCTTAAACACAAGTACCATAAAATAACTTACTGATGTCTTGTTATTTTATGCCAACAGAAGTTGTTTACATGTTTGTTTCTTCACCAGGGTCCCAAGACTGTAGAATTACAGACATACTAGCAGCTCTTATGGAAGAGTCTATCCCCACTCCATCTCAGCTGGCTTCTTTGGAAGACCAAGACAGTATACTAAATCAGAGCATATTGTTAAATGCTGAGGATGAAATTGCAGATGATGAGGAAACGATGCTGATGTCACAAGTTTTTAAAAAAGAAGATGAGGTTGAGCACAACCAAAATGGGTAATTCTTGTATGACTCATTACCATTTTATGGCTCATTGATGATTTAGTTTCCATTTTCAAGTGTACTTTTGAAAGCATAATTTGTTAGATCATCATTAAAAATAATTGTAATTTGAAGCATTTATACTGACTTTTTTATGCTATTTTAAATTCTGAGCACTGCTCTACAATTTTATTTCCAAGCTACCGTAATGTGAACTTGTTTTTAAGAAAATTTATTTTGAAAAAATATCAATATATGTCAAAAGAGTAGTATAAATAAAATCAATTTCATGATCTACTTGGGTGGCAAAAATATATTTGTGGATCTATTGTTAACAGGCATGCTGCATTTAAGATGCACATTATTAATGGTTTAATCATATCAAAATATGTTGCAGCTTGAAATACAATACAACTGGATTAAATGACCCCATCATTCCTATTGATGACCTGGACATTGTTATGAACTCTGATGATGAACGTTCAGATGAAGAAGTGGATCTTCTGCCTCAGTTTGATGGTGCCTCAGATAAAGTGCCAAGTAAGGCATTTGACTTAAATATTCCGATTTTATTTTGGTTACACATTTAAAAAACTAAAAATTTTTACTTTAGATATGCAGTGTTAAAAGAAAGGTAATTTTTAAAAAGTTGTAAACATCTTTTATTTCTCAATGTAAGCATCCGATAATGAGGTCTTTTGATCAGTATTGATTGAAGACTATTTTGTAGTTCACCATAATGAAAATAAAAAACCTTTAACTCATTCCCAATGGTTGCGACTAAATGTGTCATTCAGGGGTGCCGTCGGATGCTTCCAATTGAATAGCTAAGAAATCTCGCATCCCTCAAGACTGTCGGTGATGGCGTAAAACTGCGTAATTTCAATTTAAAAACAGGAAGTTTTTATCTTGTTTCACTTTCAATATATGTGTGATTTGAAACAATGTGTGTCTGTATCTAGAATGTATTCATCTGAGGTGCCAAAATTCAATTTTTTGGTCACTGCTCATTTGCCGTTAAGGTTATATTTTTGTTAAACCTTACTCATTTCTGGATGCATTTATCCTTCATTCATTAATGTTAATTTAAAAAATATTTTACAAATGTAAATAAAGGGGAAAAGGGAGTTACTTCCCTCTCTCAGGTATATAAATTAAGTATGGAAGTAACACTGCCTTGAGGAATGAGTTAAAGTTAATTCCCTGCACATTTTTTTATCTTTACCTTTTTCTATATTAATTAAAAAAAATATGCTACATTTCACGTAGGCTCACGAAAAAAGTCCAATGCAACCCAGAATCAACCTCAGGATTCAACTGTTGGTACAAATGCTGCAACTGGACCTAATGACTTGGAGGTTTCTCATAGTCCTTCAGGAACTGATGTTGGAAGCAGTCTTGAGCCTTCTTGGAATTCTGGGTCAACTAATAGAGGTATGGTAAATCCTCAAAATTATCCAACTGGTAGCGGTCCATGGACACAACCAGGTTGGTCTCAGCAAAGTGGGACATGGCATAGTCAGAATACAGGATGGTCACAGACTCAACAGTTTCAAAATTGGCAGCAGCAGCAGATGTCACCAGCTGCATATTCCCAGCAGCAAGTCACTTTTCCATCGACCTCAACTTATCAATCCCCTACTCATAATATGTATCCATCTACACCACAACCATCATTTCAGACCTCTTCACCTTCTCAGTATCAATTTCCTCCCTACCAATCCCCTCCTACCAACCCACAGTATCAACAATCATACCAGAGTCCATATAATTCCCCCACATCCAATCAAACTTATCAGTCTCCTCAGCCATATCAGTCACCTTCCTCAAGTCAGCCATATCAGTCTCCTTCATCCAGCCATTCATACCAGTCCCCGCCTGTAATGGGCTCCCAACCTCAGTATTCTGTCTCAGCAGCTAGCAAAACATATCAGTCTCCTGGAAGTGCCCAACCCTATCAGTCACCAACAGCCAGTCAGCAATACCAGTCACCTTCTCATCCATACCAGTCCCCTAACAGCCAGGTATACTCTCCATCTTATCAACCTGGCCCCCATTCATCACCCCAGCAGCCATATCCACCTCAGTACCAGTCTCCTGGCCATGGTTACCCAGGTCAGTCAAACTGGGGGTCACAAGGTTATCCTGGGTACTATCAGGGTCAGATTGGGACACACAGTTCTTCAGGAAATGCAGTAAAACTGCCAACTGGACCAGTGCAGTCCCAGTTTAATCAGACAAACACAGCTTATGGACAGCATGGTAACACTTTGACCAGCACCCCCATAACGAGTAATTCTCCTTGTTTCCAAGGATCAACTAATACATTATCTGCACAGGTACAATCAGCAGCTGAAATTTCCTCCCAGCCACAGACAGAGCCTAAAGCTATTGTTACAGAGTTAGACACATCCCCACCAGTCTGTAGTGAATCATCAGCTGTCCAGTTGTCAGAAACACAGGCTCTGGTTAAAAGAAATCTACCAGCTGATTCAAAGTGTGGGGGGTTCAAGTCTCCCCAACCACCTAGCACTAGCCCCATGCTGCCAAAAAGTCACTTTGACTTTAACAAACAGATGACGCCTTCGAGTACTTGCCCATCTTCTCCTAATGTTTGTGGATCACCTTCAACATCTGGTGGTGGATCTTCACAGTTGAAATTATTAGACCAGAACATGGCATCTCCTGCTTGCAGCACAGGTGAAAATAAGCTTACTCTAAAATTAAGTAACAAGCCATCAGAAATGGCTCCAAGCACAAAAATTTCCACTTTGGATTTCAAACCAACTGTTGCTTTTGATTCTGGCATGTGTGCTATCAAAGATATTATATCAGCTAAATCCTCAGATGCATCAAAGATTACAAAACCAGCTGGTGCATTTACAGAAAAAGTAGAACTTAGTTCTTCCACACCCATGATACAGCAACTATTAATGGAGGAATCTCCTGCTAGGATGAATATCAAGAAAGAAGATAGGGATGCTGTTATGAAAAAGCCTATGTTAAGCCCAACTCCACCAAAACCAAAGAAAAAGTACAAAAGTAAAACTACCCAACCCAGTAAAACACCCGGCCGACCACGTAGTACTAGCCTGTCATCACCACAGCCCACTGTGACAGGGTATGGAGGAGGATTCAACCCAAATCCTCTTATGAATTCCCAGATGATGCCCCGACCTGGCAGATCACATTCTATATCTCTTCCTTTTAACAGTGATCCAAGAATGCCCGTCACTATGTCAAGTTATGGCTGGCCACAACAACCACAGCCTCAGTGGAAGCAGCAAAATTATCAATCGTGGCAGCAACAGCAGCAGCAGTGGTCTGGTAATCAGTGGCCTAATTACAATCCACCATCAGGAGGTAACAGTGGAGACATGTTAACAAACTCTGGATCGATGACCAACAGACTGCAACACAGATCTTTCAGTGCTGATGCAGCGCAATCGCCATACTATCAGAACAATTTACAACAGAATCAAATGACTCCCATTCTAGATGAGCAGAGTTCTGTACAAGGTAGTACTACTCCACAAATGCCCATCAGTGGAGGTCAAGTACCAATTAGTTCTGGCAACAGTGAGAAACCATCTCTCTCAAGTCTGTTTCAGTTGGTGTCAGATGTTGGTTCAGGTACCGAAGACACTGTATGGGAAAGCCAGACATCAGCCCTTCCTAGTTTATTTCTCAACAGCAATGAGTCAGACACCCCTAAATCAACATCTACCTCTGAGCTAAATCGTACGAGCCCATCTGTGAAAGATTTCATTACCTTAGAAGCTCCTTTCAAACAAGGTTTTGAGAGAACCAACTCTGAAACAGCTGGCATGACATCTTCAGAAGAATCTGATCGCATTGAATCTGACTTTATAAGTGATCTCAAGCCTATTACTCTGAGCGTGGCACAGAGTGTAAGGAACAATCACCCATGTCTTGGTAAACAGAGCAGGCTTAAAAGACTTGGAATTGTTTCAAGAAGTTCTGAGCTAGGTTCATTTGAAATTGGTCCCAATGCATCATATACTTACACTTTTCATGTGCCTACTCCAGTGTTCAAAAAACTAAAATTCTACAGAGGTGCAGAGGCAAGGAAGCATAATTTTATAGTGGTTAGAATGCATCCAATGGATGCACGCCGCTACAGTTTGTTGAAAATTGGTCGCGAAATTGTTAAAGTTGTCAAGCTAACTGAAGCAGAGCTGGCCAGGTATAATGTTACCTTGCCACCCCCATCCTATTTTATTTCATCAGATGGCTCCACCAATAGGGTGAACCTGGACATACCTACAGTAAGCTCTGATAAAAGAAGTGGAGACAGTGGGAGTGAGGAGAGCAGTCTTTCTAAGTTTGATACTGATTTTCCACCCAACAAAGTAGCACCACCCAGTTCCTTTCATGCTAGTCAAGTCAGTGCCTCCATAGCCAGGGCAAATTCCTCTCGTAGCTCTCCGGGAACTGCAGACAGGGTAAGGCATGGTTCTGCCCAACAACAGCAACCAAACTTCAATGGAGGCTTTAGTCCCGGGCGACAGCAAAGAGGCTTCAGTCCTCAGCATGGGAATTATCCTTACTCTCAGCCAGTTGGAGACAGGAGTTTCGGAAATGCTTTCCCTTCTCATCAGCCACTGTCTTCAGGGAGCATAAATAGACATTTTGGCAGCCAACCTCCAGACTGTAATCCAGGATTGGGCTTTCAGCAATTCAGCCAGAAAGGAAGTAACCCCCAATCCCATTCAACTTCCATCCATACACATGGAAACTTTTACCCTAACCAAGAATATTTAAGCCGTACAGTTTACCCATCACAACAGCAGCAGTATTATCAACAGCAGCAACAATTCTCACAGCAACAGTTTCAACAGCAACAGCAGTCACAGCAGCAGCAGCACACATTTCAACAGCAGCCACCTCAGGAAGGTCACAATGGCTCCCATCCGGAGTCAAAAAACGAATTGCGTTCCCCGGGCCAGCATGGGCTAGCAAGCAGAATTGACAGCAGGGATGTTCACGGCCACAGTGGTAAAGAAGACAGCCAAGATGACAAAGACACCACTGGGACCTCCACTGTCAATACCCGGGTGAACGCACGGAGGTGGGACAGCCATGCTGAACATTCGGCCAGCAACACAGATTTGTGCAGAAATTCACAGGAAGCATCACTTTGTCAGACACCAGACAACATCAGCTATTGCAATGAAAGTGAAATTTTGAACCTAGACCAAAGTAATGACCTAATAACTAATCTGGCCAATAGTAAAAATCATAAGACAAGAAAGAGAAAAGGAAGAAGAAAATTGTCTTTGAAAAAATCCAAAATGTCAGTGACTAAAGTTAATAATGAAAAATGTTCAGAAGTAATAGAAGATTGTTATGGTGACACCAAAGATGTAACACACAAAAGTGCTTTAGACAATAATGGAGACGATTCCATACCTCAGTTGACTCAGGTAAAAAACCCTTATTCCTACCCTCTACCAACTCAGCGTGGTAGGAGACGGGGAAAAATGAGTTGGAGAAAAAATATCAAGGCTCTTCGCTTAAACATACCAGAATCAACAACTAACAACAGTTTGTGTTCTCTTAATGATAATAAAGGGATACTAAGTAACCACAAGATGTTAGATGAAGAAAGGAAGGACACTAATGGGGTCGTTCTATCCCCTAGGCTAAGAAGATCTAGTAGCAGTACTGTAAAAAGTTCAGACACTGGGCCAATGGGTATCCACGCAGCCAGACAAGCAAAATTGCGTTCAGTGTACTCAAAAAACCCAGACAATGGGCAAAAATTGCATAAAAAGAAAAGGGAACCATTGAAAGAAGGAATTCATTACATCGTGGTGGGTAAATTCAAAGGCCACCATGTTATGTTAGTTAAATTAAGCAGAGTATCAGTAAGCCCCACAGAATCTGTAAAAGCTCAGGATTTTGAAAGTTTTGCCTCTAAGGAAGTAGTTAGAACTGCATCATTATCAATGACACCACACACCTTGTGTGACCAAATGCCAAGTGTAAATCTCAACAGTATACATATTGAAAAAATTGTCAATACAAAAAGCCCAAACATTAGGAAATCAAAACTTAGTCAAAGATACAATAAAAGACAGTTTCAGCTGTATGGCAAGTTTCGCTCAGCTGAAGTATCAGTCGGCAAGCAAGAGGACATGTGTCAGGAATCAGCATCCACAGAAATGAACATTAAACACCTTCCAAAAAACGCGTTTGCTGGCCCCATCAGTGGGGCCAGTCAAAATCTCTCTCAAAGCAATGTATCTAAGGATCATTTTTTTTGTAAGTTCAAAGAAAGTTTTATCCGACACAGCAGAGCCAAAGAACCCTCTCATGAATCTGATGTCGTTTCACCGCACACTTTATTTTTTGTTGGCATCAGAAATTCCTGCTTCAACAGTTTTCAAAGGAAACTGACTGACAATTTAAAAAAACTGAAGTCGGATGATTATTCATCCAGTTCTGATGACGAGGATGACTTTCTTGATGAAATGATTTTTAAAAAAAAAATAGCCTTCCCAGAAATTTTCCATATGTACAGTTTTAAAATTCCACCCGAAGAAATCGAGCATCCTAATACACAGTGTTCTAATTGGCCTAAAGAAGCAGTGACCTCAAGCATTTCTGAACCACCTGAAATTAAGGAAAAAACAAAAATTGCTCACTTGAAGGGTCTTGAGAATTTGAAACTGGAAGGTGCTAATGTTCAAACTGAAGATTCTATTAGCACTGCTTTTGCTTATGAGGACATCATGAAGAAATCTGGTGCAGAAAACATGGAAATTGAATCTGATACAGTTGAGAAAACACCTGATCAGAACAAACATTTAGACAAATTGACTGAAACCCTCCCTGCTCTTAATGGGAGAGACAAAGAGGAAGAAAAAGATGACTTTCTCAAACGTCAGATGGCTTTCTTTGAGGACATCTCATCGGAGTCTGACAGTGGAGATACAATAATAATGGAAAGTTTAGACAAAGAAAATGTCACTGTGGGGAACACCTTAGGGTATTCTCCAGTTCCAACATTGTCAGCTGAATACAATTTGGATAAGCCTTCTGACTGCACTGCTATTATCAATGTACCTTCATTAGAGCCTAGGCTGACACCAGACCACTTGCAAGAACGTAAAAAGGGGTTTGAAGAAAGTCCTTTGTTGTCAAGTATTTTAACTGGTAATGTCGCAAATAATCATTGCATTAATCCATTGTTAAAACCTGACTCTGAGGGCTCAGAAATGGATAAAATTGTTTTGACTAAACATGTTACAGAGCACAGTTCTCATGACCATAGTGTTATGTCAGCTCTTCCACAGTCTTCAAGCTCTCTTGATGATGGTTCGTTAAAAGCCTCAAAAGCTGAAACTTCACCAATTGCTTTGGAACCTGTTAGTTCTACTGAGTTTCTTGATGAAGTTGAAATTAATAAAGAAGAAAAAGGCCTAAGTGAATGCAAGCAATTTACTGTGACAAATATCTGTGAGAAAGACAAGCTGATAATTAGTATTAAATCATGTGACAAGTGGGGACTGCAAGCAAATCTGGGGTTTGGACAGCGGCAAAAAAAGCAAAGCAAAGACATGAAGAAATCGGAAAGAGATAAAGGCAAGAAGCTTTCAAATAGTAGTAAAGTGAATGAAGATGCAGTCTCCAGCTCCAATGAGGATCGCAGCAACAGTGGAGAAACTGGGGGAGCGTCACAAAGTAAATGTTTACGTCAGAAGAAGCAAATTAAATATACATTTTACTCAGAAGATATAGACACATCTGATGGAAATTCCAGTTGCTATAGTGATGAGGACTTCAGCTTTCAAAAGGCAAGGTCCTCAAAAACCAAGAGGAGGCAAAAGGCAGGTGAGCTTAAATCTAAAAAAGCTCCATCTTTAGATGAATTAAAATCTTCCAAAAGTGTCCCAAAGTTTCGAGCTTCTCGTGGCAGAAAAAAAAAATCAGGAGGCAAATTACTGAGCAGTCTGAGTTTACTCCACATGGCGACTCTGGCCAATCTCACAGAAGCCCAGACTGACTCATTAGATGCCCAGTCAATGTCAGAATCTGCCACAGCTGCTGAAAGTGAAGACATGGGCTCCCAGTATGCATCAAGAGCTGCTAATGATCACAGTGGGGAATATGCTCCATCGCTAGAGACTATGTCTTTCATCTCACCCCAGACATCTTCTGAGGTCGAGGTTTCCCCACCTGTACCATTTTCCCCTTCTGATAAGAAGAGGGGGAAACTGACAGATGTTCACAGAGCTGGATCATCTCGAAGAATGTTAAATTTTGCCAGGAGGCGAGCCAGTTTAAAACCTGGCTGTAATGGAGCTTCAAATCTGGGCAGCAGGCCGTTACCTTTCAGTCGTCTTGTCTCCACATCCACATCATCTTCACCTGTGCCATCAAACTTCACATTTAGTCATACCCCAGATTCTTCTCAGCAAGCAGAACCCCCGGCTCCTATGGAAGATGCGAGTACAGCCAACACTCTGCAACTTTTAGAAACGAGGAGAGCACAGGTGAATTGTGCATCTTTCTCTATGAAAGACATTCTTCGACTAGCAACTCCAGATGATTCCATGGACTCTGATAGCAAAGACAGTTTTCCATTAGTTAAACCCCCTGAAGCTAAAAGGGCTCAAGTGAAAAGCACAACTTTGTCAATGAGTGATATACTTAAATTAACCTCAAGTGAAATGACTGGTGAAAAAGACACTGCAGAAGCATCTCATTCATTACTGAGTAAAGTAGCAACACCTAAATCCCAATCTCCTCTCCATACAAAAGTATCCAGTTTATCTAAAATAGAGTCTATTGAGCCTCAGCCATCTCCTGAAATAACAGAAGCCTCAACGTCATTACTGTCTCAGTTGGCTACCTTTGGTACGTCACATTTTTCAGAAAATGCCCGTTATCAGCAGCCAAATCTGTGTGATTTGAATTCAAAACAGGAAATAACAGATGCATCAGCTTCTTTACTGTCTCAGATTGCTAACTTTCAAGAAACAGCTTTAGAGTCTGACTCAAAATTAGCCTCTCAAACATTGTCTTCTAGTCATACTGTGGAAGATAATCATTCACCTTTGATCAATCAATGTCTTATTGACTCAGAAACTCAAAATGAAACAAAAGTCTTACAAAAATCTCAAGAGAGGAACTCAAAGGAAAAGCACACCTCTGCTGCAAATGAGAATCTTGAAAAGAATCAAGCTGATCATGAAAAACAAATCCATTTGAAAACTCACGTTTTGGGTACACAACCTAATGAAATTGGTTCAAAACGGGACTATCTGGATACTTCTTCAGATGACAGTTATGTACTGCAAAATAATTCAAAAGTAACTCATAAATCCAAACCATATGGTCTAATATCCGGTGCTAATAAATCTCCATCATCTTCTGACAGTCTTGTTACTGATGAAAGCAGTCATCTATCAAGATCATCCAAATTAGCTGAAAGGCAAATTTCTCCCCAATCTCAAAACATAGCTAGTAAACTTTTAAACAAAACATTTAAGCTAGAATTGCAGCAGGAACCAAACATCACCAACTCCCAATTTATTATACCTCAAAGTCCGGCTACTTCTTCAGCTCTAGAGATCCCAAGAATTTCTATAACATATGATGAAGCATCAGTAAATGAAATATTGGAAGATGCCTCCAGTGAGTTAGTATCTAATTTGAGTCCCAAGAGGAGTCATCGAGAGCACACATTAAATGGTAGAAATGTGGATATAAAACCTCTAAATCCATTGCAAATACCTCCTTACCCATTTATTGGACACAGATCAAGAACTGATTCAAACCAAGGATACATCAATCCAGTGTTTCCATACAATTACCCTTTCGGTTGGCAGTGGTCAGCTACCCACAACTCAAGTGCAACCTCTACTCCACTTAATTTATGTACCACTCACAAATCACCCAACAGTTACTCTCCTATCACCCCTACATCCCCAGTGTCCCCTGTATTTCCTCCACCATCACAAACTTCCTCTACTGGTATGTCTCCTCCAATAAAAAAATCCAAACCACTTTGGTACCCATGGTTAACTGTAGATTCAATTAAAATGCAGGATAGCAGCGCTGGGCTCCAAGAAGACATGAAGCAAATAGATGCAAACATGACGGAAAGCAGAAAAAACTCAAAGAGTTTAAATAAACTGAATATTGAAGGAAAGACAATTCCTACTCAAGCAGCAATTACTGGTGAACATAACTATTCGCCTTTTAATGTTTCAAGAAATCAATCAGATATGTCTAAATTGCCAAACCAAACAGTGCATTCACTTAGTGAAAGAGAGAGTGACAAGTTTGGACTGTGGAAGGAAGATTTAGGCAGAGGTCTCTTGGATAAGCAAAAGGTATCTGCTCATGGAATAAAAGATCTTTTATCATCTCCACCCAAGACTAATGCTCTCAAAGTAAACAAAGATCCTTTGTCTAATTGTCGAACTGTTTCTCAGTTTTTGGGTTCAGTCATTGAAACAGCTTATGAACAAGAAAATATTAACTGTCCACCTTGGACCTTAGGAAAAAGAGATTTAAAAAACTCAAGTGCCATGCTAGCTCAAGCCCAAGATAGAAAAAAAAATGAGGATATGAGAGAAAAAGATGGAATTAACAGATCCATGTATCAGCACAAAAAACATTATGACAATTATAACAGGAAATACTCCAAATTATCCAGTAGTGCCTCTTTGGGAGTTAGTGACTCTTCATCTGTTGAAAAATGCTCAAAGAATAATCAAGTGAGAGCTCTTCTAGAAAATGATAAAGAATTACAAACGAAGATGAGATCATCTTATCAATCTGCAAATATCCCTCCAGTAGATCTTAGGAATGAGAGGTTTCATAAACAATTAGAACTTGTATATAGTAAAGAGGCAGAATGTAGTTTGTTATATGGTAAACCCCTTGAAAGAGATTCTAGTCCACACACTGATGGAAGCTTTTCTACTGCTAGGCATAGCTTGACTGACCTACTGGTTACCAAACTCATTAAGGGGGACATACCTGATGTGATTAAAGTGGCAACAGATTCTCTACCGGTACACGGAAACAAAAAACAAAGTTGTAGCCAAAGAGAACACTCCAGAGCTCAATTAACAGATACCAGTAACAACAAAGAAATAACAAGTGAGACTGAGAAAGATACTCAAAATATAAATGATGATAATTTAATAGGGGAAGGAAACAAGAGAAAAGCCAACCAACCTAAGAAGCAACAGGAGGATAGAGCTGTAACAATATGTCCCATAAAAACAGCTCCAACTAGACTGGCCATAGAAGGCAATTTAAATGGACTAGGTCTCCATTCAATTCAAGCACCAGTGGCTTTCTGCAGTAATCTTCAAGACTTGCCAGACAGACCAGTGTAAGTATTTGTTTTTATCAAGATAAACATTTTAAGAAATATTTATTACTAGCTGCTTGTGTAATTCAAACTAAGCGTACAATTGCTTTTCCAATTACATATAGAGGATACATGTATGTGACTCTTTTGCACATTAGAACTCATACTTGCATTTATTCAAAACATTTTACAAACTCAGCAAAGTGCCCTTTTTAAATAAGAACTTTACCAAGACAGATTTAAAGGTTTTTGTTGTGATAAAAAGTCTGGGAATAAGGCAGACATGTTATTGCGATGTGAAATTAAATAGGCTGAAATGCCACTGACATAAGAGAAGCTTATTCTCAAGAGTTCTTTTGACTAACCATTTATAGAAATCCTTCAATAACTATTTTGAGGTGGCATCAGGAAGTTATGAGACTATTTGGTATGAGTGTATGGTACCATTAAACCATATCATTGTGGCCCTGAAGGTCACTGCACCAAAACTTTCTCAATTGTCATGCCAAATCCCATAACTTTAGTTGTTACATGTTTTTTGAAATCTTGAGTTAGGACTGCTTTGTAATCTTATGATAGCTGACAAATCAGAAAAACGTACTTACAATTACATTAGTTGAACTTAAATCAAACTATCTGCAAAAATTCTTAAACTGTGCATGGGTTTTTAGAAATACAAGCATAAATTATTTCTAGTCAAGAGAGTTGATTGATGAGGTCAAACATTTGATCCAGGGCCATTGTCATACAAATTAAATCGGTTCCTGTTATGGTGTGCTAAGAGATCCTGAAAGGCAGGTGGTATTCAACAGCCTTCTCTGTCCACTTCAATCAAGAAAAAACTTTCATTATGCTTTGAGGCTTCTAAAGGACTATATGTTGATGTCTCTAATATGGGGGGGGGGGGGCGCACGACCATTTTTCATGCAATGGCACCCAAATTTTAAATTAAAAGATTACATTTTTTTTCTTAGTCTTTATCTTAAAAATTTTCTATATCACCTCAGATGTAAATATGTGTAATTAAATTTGCATTGGGTCAAATGGAGGCTTATCATGCCATAATTTCTCTTATAACTTTGTTTAATAGCGTAGTTGTTGGCAGATAATAATTCCATACTTTTGATCTTAATTAATGCAGAAAAACATTTTACATTTTGTATTTATTTTTTAAACAAATAAATTCATTCCATTGTTTGTCATCAGCTTTAGTGTAGTTGTTCCTCATAATCATTTACTATATTTTTAACCCCACTTGTCTAAAATACCTCAGCAAACCTTCAGTGGTCTTCTTTACAGTTCGTTTTAATTTTGTCTAAGTATGTACCACATAAAAACTACCTGACAAACTCAAAGCTTTTTTCCCTAGATGTTTTTTCTTAAGCTTCTTACTAGTTTAAATGATATTAACTTACTGTGGTTGTTGAGGCTTATTATCTGCATGCTTTATTTTGTCGTTGTAGGGAACATGGGGGCAGAGTGTTAAAGGTGGAATCTAGAAGGGTGAGGGTTTTCACTTTTGCTTTATACATTCTCATCATTCACATCGGTACATAAGTGGCTTTCAGCACTGGCGTAGAAAGGGGGATGCAGAGGGGGCAGTCCGCCCCTGGCAGCACTTTTTTCCTTTATTTAGAGGGGCAGCATTTTCGGCCAACCGCAGAGTTTTTTTGGGGGTGGGCAAAAATGTTGACCCTCCCCGGGGAGCATCTACCCTAGCTACGCCACTGGCTTTCAGTGTATTGATTTAGTACTACCGTCACCTTTTTTTCAAACCATAATTTACAATTTTTTAATTTTAAAAAAGGTTTTGACAGCGATTGCTTTAAATATTATAGTTTAACTGCTGTATATCCTTGTTCATAGCTCGTTTATTCATAACCCCCTAAGCTTTTGTCTTGGAAAAGCCTGAAAACTGTATGACCTGCTCAGAAGCCGACCCCATTTTAACATAATATGCCAGTAGAAGCGATGAAAAAAATTAAAGAAAATATTTTTTTTTAAAAATCCAAGCTTTTAATAATAATTATTGTGCAAGTAAAAAGACTTACAAAACATTTCCAAAAATAGATAACTGCTGCTTGGAAAAAAATGTATTGTCGGCTTGTGATACACAGATGTATAAATATTTTGCTATAAATATCAACTAAAAAGTGCAGATCTCATTATACTGATTAAATATCAGAAGCTGCTACCAAACCCTGACCACTTTAAAGGTAGATTTCATCTCCTACTACGATCTTATAACTGACCGGTTGGGAGTCCAGTGTACGAGTGAGATACAAAGGCCAGCTTTACGGGCATTGGAATCAAATTTTGCACACAGCCAATTTTACAATCTGCTAAATGTTGACTCCAATATTTACTTTTTTCTTCATTGTTTTCTATAATAGAATTGATGCACCTAGAGAAAGTTGTAAAAATCTCCTTTGACCCACTAATAAGGTGACCACCCAACTTATTCCCATGAAATATTTCCACCAAAAAAAATCTGGGTATGAACGAGAATATACAATAATAAAAAAAATCTATTGCTATTTTTTAAGAGTTTAATTATTAATATTTTTTTATTAGAAAATTTTTACGAATAAAATATCATAATTAGTGTAGAAGATTTCTTGTATATTTAAATTGGTCACTTCACATGATTATCTTCACAATTACATTTATGAAGGTATTTATGGTGAGAAATATTTGCTGATTTGGTTGTAGAAAGGAAAAATGTTTGAGGAATGCACATACATTTGATGAAGAAGTTTCTTTCAAAGCAAAATTCATTACCAGAACATTAAACTTAATTTTTTTTACATTTTAGATTTGTGAACTCTCACCGTTCACCACTTCCCAGCACATAATCGGGATATGGGAGTGGCGCAAGAAGTCTGTTGCTTCCTCCAAACTCCTTGCCTCACAGTCCATTGGGAAAGCCCTTTTAGAAAGACTGCAACAAGAAGCACAATTACGTTTGATGATGGCAGGAGACCATAAAGTGATACTGGCCCCAATCCACTGCCCTCCATCCCATGCCAGTGTTGTCACGTGGCTGTTAAAGAATATGGCAACTGTGAGGGAAGAGAAGTTGAAACAGGAGCGTAAGTCAGCACCTACAAACTCAAACAGTCTTGTTGATGATCTGCAGCTAGAAGAGAGACAGAAATCTGACATACTTTCTTATAATCCTGATGATAGTTTTCTCAAGGATGCAAATCAATCATCTGATACACTTGAGAAAAATACATGTGAAATCCATTCAGTTAAAAAATCTGGAGAAAATAATAGCTCTATAAGTAAAGCAGACCATAGTATATCAAATTCATTAGATGATAGTTCAACTCTTATTGACACAGATCTAGAGTTGAGCTGCACGACTCCAACAGAAACACCTGCACCAATTGTTTCTCCGGCAGAAGCTCTTACTTTGTCAAATCCCTCTGCGGTAACGTCACCACAAGATTCCCACGCAACACCACCCTCAGAGGGACAAGTCATTCAAAGGAAGAGGAAATTGAAGTTTGAGGATAATGGCAGTCAAAGCTCAAGTCAAGAAAACTCAATATCTAATCCCAACATACTAGATGAACATTTTAGGAAAACAAAAAGAAGATTGGTTAATTTTAGAAACTTGAACGATAAAATTGAACTCTTAGTCACAACAATGAGTAGCACACCAGTAAGACGAACCTCAAATGACCTATTTGATCCAACTTGTACACCCATCAGTTCTCCTCAAGATGTACAAGATAGATCCAAACAGATGATTCCAACTCTAGGCAGTGAACAAGTAGAAAAACCAGCCAAGAAGTCTCAATCAATGGACAAGCCCACACCTGTCATAAAGCCTGTTTCTACAAGCACAGAAAATCTGCTTAAAGATAATTTTCTTACATCACAGACACAGGTGAGATGGCCATAACTTAATTTTTAAACACATTTAGCTCTTGATAACACACAGTGAGGTGTGGGTCTGTCCCAGTTACTTGAAAATTGTTTCTAAAATGAAAACTAATACTTTCAAGTAAAATAGCTTAATATGATGAGGTAACCACTAGATACCTAGAATGGGAAAGGTTGTGATTTCAGAAGACCTATAGTATTTGCAAATATCTTTATTGAAATTGACCTCTGCATGGACCATTTCTGACTCTACTTCCACTTCCAACTTCGTAGACAAAATCTGACTCTAGTGACCTCGTCTATTAACTAACAGCTTTATTTAGTTTTAGACTCAA